CGGAGTGGCCCGGTCCGACGTGATTCTATCGGGCTCGTGACGGTCGTCGATCCTCTATTACAAAAGCATCCGCTCGAGTGCACGTACACGCGCGCGTGTGCCAAGTCGAGCGTACCGGAGCACCTCTTCTTCTTCTCCCGCTTTCCCTCGAGCAGGCGCGCGACACCGGTGACGGCGGTCCTCCCGTCGTCGACGTCGTCGGCCTTTCGACCCCCCGCTTCCCTCCTCGGGAACACCACCCTGCTCTGGCTGACCGTCGAATACGCACGCGATTCCCCGTCCCCCCGTTCCCTCCCGCGTTCCGTTCAACGCTGCACTCCTACTTAAAAGCTTCCCTCCTCCCTCGTCTTCCCTTTCGTTATCGCACGGCTCGCGAGGCCTGCAGCGAGAGCCGGAAACGCTCGATCACTTTCTACGCCCGGTTCGTGTACCGCGTATTACTCGCTCGCCTGTTCACATACACACGCCGCGGAGCGCCGTGCTCGTGGTCACTGATTCTGACGGCTAGAAACTGGGTTGCGTGAGTGCCGATCGCCGAGATCGTTAAATAGGCTTCAGGGAAAGTCCGCCTCCGGTGGAGCCGAGCGAAGAGGGACGAAGCAGAGGAGGGTGGCAAGAGTAAAGACGAAGAGAGAGAGAGAGAGAGAGAGAGAGATCGTAGGACGCGATCACACGGGTCACGCCGGACGATAAAATCGATCACGACGGTTTTTCTCTCTCCGCCCGGCGAATTCTCGCGTCCTCTCGAAGTCCTTGCGATTGACCGTGAACACCGTCCAGCTTTCATTGATTTTATCCGAGCCACGCTAGGGGGATAGCTTTCTACCGTCGATAATGGTGTTGCATTATTTTCACCGTTCGCTCGCCTGTTGATCGATCGGCCGCGTCCTGGAAACCGCGGGACGCTCCTATCTGCTCCCGCCCGCTGGGATCTCGGGCGCTCTTGTTTACGTAGATTCGAATCTCCCGAAGGAAAATCGGATCGGATGAACGCCGCTTTGCCAGGTCGAATCGGGTCAGGGACGAGCGAGCGATTAGATTTCCTGGAATGAAGTTCCCGTCCGGTCCCGTCGATCTACCAATTTTCTTGCCTCCGCTCCGTCGTAAACGGGACGGCGACGAGATCGCTGACTCGGTTATAAAGCCGACCCGCGATAGGAGATCGGGTCGTTCGGGCTCGATGAGATTCCGCGACAGGGTTCGTTTATGCCCGCGTTTACGAGGCGCGCGGCGGTGAAACGCGAATTCGATGAACGACGACGACGACGACGACGACGACGACGACGTCGGTGCAGCGTCGCGCCGACCGGATGCTGCGGCGGCGTGCACTCGATCGATCGGCGAACGCGACAGGAAACGCGGCACCGGAAACGGGAAGAGAGGCTGAAGTCCCGCCGCGGTATTATCCAATTTCGCCGGCAATTGTCAGCGGCGGCATTAAATGGCCGTGTGTCTCTAACAAGCGCCGCGCGCACCGATTTCCGGCTATCGGCGTAACAAGCCTCTTTCACCTACGTTCGCTACACATTATACACTTCCCGGCGCGGCGCGCAGCGACGCGGAAGCTCGTCCCCGCTCGTTTCTTTCCGAGACAAATTGCGTATTGTCCGCGGTCTCCTCGTCGTTCTTAGGCCTCGTTAACCGCTGCCGCTTCACCTTTCCGCGGGGCCCGCTAATCGACATCCGCCGGCAATCCGCGGACGTATTGTTTCCCTCCGCCTGAGCGAGTTCTAATCGCGTGGGAGAGGGCGGCTATGAAAATAGCGACTTAATAGGTGACTTTCCTTGAGCGACGGGTCGCTTGAAGCTGTACCGATTCATTAATTGGTCCGTGACGTTGACGGTTTCGTGAACATTGCGTTAGGTTGACAGTTAACGGTTTACTGTGAGATCTGTGATATATGATTGCTGACGAATTGGAGAATTGAGGTTTGAACGCTTATCGACCGAAATCTTTTGAAATTGTCGATTGTAACTATTAATACTGTAATAATTTAATAGCGTTCTTTGTTGCAAATAGTTTCAAACGACTGCTTCCTGTAATGTATCAAAGTGGTATTAGCAAAATCGAAGTATCGGCGACGCATTTTTGTTGCAGCAATCCGGTGTGCTACGTAACATACTTAGCCGCGGCCGATAGGTGAAGTGTTAAAGTAGATACGGGCATAATAATATGTTGTTCCGACAAATGTATGCGGTACGTGAAAGCGGTAGAGATAGACGATGGAAATGTGGAAACCTAAGGATTCGCTAGGTGATTACTGCGCCTATTCAATTATAATGAACGTAAAACGCAAGCAGCTTTCAGCGCTCATTGTATCCGCGCCGGAAGTGAATAGGCGAACGGTTGCATAAGTTCGCGCCGCTTATCGACGTCGATAACACGCGAAAAACTCCGGGCCCGCGTGCATGTACGCGTAGGAGATGCGGAGCATCGAGACGAGGGGTTAAATGCATTCGCCGGGTTCGCATTATCGATTCCCGTGGGCATCAAAATTTCCAGGCCGTTTCTCTTCGCCGTGCAGTTCCCGCGAAGGCGCTCGTAATCCTCTTCCCACCGCCGCTTTTACGTCGTTTCCGGATTGCATCGCTCGCGTTCGAGCATTCGGATGGATAACCGTTCAATAAAACTTGCCTCCCCGGGATCGGAGACAGATAAAGTGAAAACGGCCGTTGAAACCGGCGGATTCGCCGCGGCGTTACCAGCGGGACGCGAGAATGTTTACGCGAGACGGCCCCGCAACTGGGTCAAAATTTCAACTAGGTCGTTTCTTTGTTTCACGTAGGAGACGCGCATCCTTCGCGCGCAGGTCGGTCGGGTCGAGAGACTCGGTTTCGTCGAAATTTCGCTATTTAATGCGCCGCGACGCCACTAGACGAAGTCGCGGCCCGTCCGTCCTTTTACGGGCCAGGCAGTGAATGCACCGCTCGGATTTTAAATGGAGCAATTAACCTTCGGGACGGACTTTTGCTGCTTTTCAGCCGACTTTCTCGTGCGTATACATTGAACAGCGTTTATTACTTCCGACCCGTGTGCGGCCACAATACGGATACGCGTCCGTGCACACGGATAGGGGACGGAAACTGAGGGGATGCTCGAATTGCGCGTTGCTATATCGGATCGAGGAATCGGGATAATGGTGGCAGTTTTTTTTATATCTTGAAAAAGATTGAGACATCCTTTAGCGCACTTGCTATTCAGAAAGCGGAGTCGTTGAAATCCTAGACTCTTAACCTTGCTGAAATGTCCTTCTCATTTGCCAGCCGCGTATCCATAAATATTTTTCTCTCCCCACGTGTCATGCGATTGATTTGTAGACGAAAATACGTTGCGAACCTTATCGTCTCCTGTTACACGTTCATCCCTTATTCAGAACCTCGAGACACGCGAACATTTTCAACGGCTCAACCCAATTTATCCGGACCGATTCATCAAGTTGTCACTGAATTATCAATCTCGGCGATCCATATCGTTCCCCGGTTACCATTTAAAACCGACGTTACACGCAGCGGACGAGATCCCCGCAACAATGCCGCAGAAAAAAGAACATCTCGACGAACGTTGCAGCAGAACTTTCGCCTGAATGCAACCGTTATCCCGCCGACCCAAGGACAACGCGTGTCCTTTGCGTGCGTGCAACGACCACACATCCTCCCCCGAAACTGCTCTCGTAGCCCGCAGCCCGAGACCGGGCTAAAGGTCTCAATGAAAGAGAAAAAAGTCGAAAGTACGTCCTTGGATTAAGCAGCCAGCGGTGAAGCAACAAACTGAAAGGATGCAAAAAGAGGAGGGAAAAAAGATGTTCGGCCGGGCTAGCCCTGCAGACCGCATTCATCGGCGCGCACTGGGAAAACGTCGATGTTTCTGC